CTACCTTAGATGGGTTTTAAAGAATTTAGGGACAAAGGCGCTTGGTTGACAAAAGAATTACTTTGTACACAGAAGCACCCAATAAGTAAATATACAGAGTTAAAAACAACTTTAATGTGAAAATGAAGAGCACAAGCTGAACTTGGGGAACAATCTCTTGTGGAAAGTAATGAAAGACCAATCAATTTGCACATTGAAAGCTACAGGAGAGAAAGATATTTCTGCAGAGAATAAGCCCATACTGATAGAAGAGAAAGAGCCAATGTAACAAGTCTTTGTTCCACTGCTGGTGTATCAGTGCTTGCTACTCTAATCCTGACTTGTGGTTGGAAAGCAGTCTTAGTTCAGAAAACAAAACAAAGAGGAAAATACTAATTATGCAACTCCATCTGCCTTGCCTGTCCAGAATGCTTCTTATTTTAAATACCAGAAGCATATTTAATCCTTGTACTTTATCATCACTGTGGGAAAGTATGAACCAATGGAGCCAACCAACTTCTACACCAATGCAATCCCAATCTATTGCTACACTACACAGCACTTAGCTATTTTTTGCATATATATTAAAATTCTTTCAAGGCCTTGTTCTATACTAGCATATGAGAGCAATATATATTAAACATTAAAATGCCAACCACTCTCAACCAGCTTTTATGTGGGGATGGTAGCTACAATGGAGGCTTTACATGTCTGCAGTATTTCCCTCTGAAAAATTTAAGTCTTTCAGGAAAACCATGTCAGTTTCAGAAAATTTCAAACTAAAACTGAGGGCAAATAACCTCTTCCATGAGCTATCAGCACAAGTGAGCATGTGATTAGCCATCAGATAGCTAGCAACAGCACACAAGAGCATGTCATGAGCACTGAAGACATAGCATCACATCTTTAATTTAAACCCATCACCCGTGTTTCTTTTAAATTATCATGTCCCTTTTATTTTTTTCCCTTTTTTTCAAAACCCACTTTCTGAATTCATTCATTAATATTTTTGAAGTCCTGGGAACAGAAGTCTTCTGCTTCAAGATAGAAAGGCAAAGAGCAGTCTCCATTCTTCTACAATGTCTCTTTTTTGAGAGTGCAGACTAGCATTACTTCTAACCCACTGAATGTATCTCTTTAACAGTACTACTGTGGCATTATGAAAATTAAAGATCTCATGAAAGTTTCCATTTTGAGTATTTTAGCATGTAACAATATCTCATCTAAAAAACAAGTTAACCACCAATCTCTGTGCTTGTGAGGTACCTAAGCTTTTTACAAAGAACAAGGAGGTCTCTAGCATGCTGGTTTTGGATCCTACAAGTACACTGTGCAGCTACACAAACTACACGAACAGGTGACCCAGAGTTCAAGATGAGAACTCATCTGCACTGTCTGAAAGGACCATTACTAAAGCAGGTAATAAACACAACATGGCAGGGAGCACAGCAGTGGGGTTTAGCAATGAATGAAGTCAGACACCTTAGCATATTTCAATTTTTATTCCTCACACCTAACCCTTTATTTTACTGGGGTTTATACCAGTTGTCTGCTTTTCATTACAAATACTGTGGTGTACTCTAGAAATACATATACACTATAAATACCAACAAACCACCTAAGTAGTACTTTCCTCAGACCTCATTTGTCAAGTCTGAATAGTTTTTCTCCATTTGTCTCAATACAGCTTTTCTAGACATTCTGGTACTTTCCTGCCATCAGTATTCAAGATCTTTCACTCAACACATTAACAAAAAGGTTGTGTAGATTTTTTCTGTCTCTGAGTATTTTCAAAATTCAAGACCTTCCTACTGCAAAGTTTCTGAGCAATAACCAAAATAAGTCACCTCTGCAACAGACTGAAGACTCCGGGCAAACTTCAGCTGGTTAACACCATGATGCACAGGTTTGCCATACGTTGCACCTTTTGGGACTGGGCGTTTACGACCACCACGGCGAACGCGGACACGGTAGATCACGTAGCCTAAAAGAAAGGGTGACTTAGGAACCAGAAGAACTCTGTAGTGTAGCAAGTACAGATCACAGCAAGGCAATTCTTCCTGCTCATGCTGCATTCCCCACCCCGAAAGCTTCACATGAAAATTAGGCCACTATACCAATCTTCACCAAAACCTACAAGTGGAGGTGGCTAACACAAGATGCTTTTGTTACTTCCATTACTAGTGAGTAAAGGAAGTCATGTTCCATCACAACTATTTTTTACTTCCAAGCCAGAGTTGACGGCATCTTTCCAATATGAGGTTCCAAATACACTCTGAACAGCTACGTTGTAACACAAAAATATCCCACCCTGAAACATGCAACAATACAAACCACCCCAAAACTAAAATCCCATGTTCTGGAAGTAGCATTCACAAAGCTCTAAAGCACAAACCATCCACCAACCCTGCTGAATGTATGATTGCTTAAAAATGAGGAAAAGAATCAAACTTCACAAGCAGTAACAGAAGTGTAGACTCCAAGCTTTGTATTTTCATGGTGAACAAACATGTTGTTCTAAGGATCTGCTCAGGCTGCAGATGGGCGGCCACTTTCCCCAAATTTCTTTCACTGACCATTAACTATTTTCTAATGGTACCACAATCTACGTCATCTTGCTTGCTCAAGCACATACAACTGTAACATGGTCAAAATAATGCATGATAAAATCTGGGCAGAAAAGTGACACCCTTGAAACCTAGGATACTAAAAGTATTGGTCAACTCTGCAGTAGTAACACGGAACAAGAATTAAAGCCAAAGCCCATGTGATCTCCATCTATCAAAATGGCCACAGAAGGAGTCAACTCAAAACCACATCAAGTACAGTTTCAGGCTGTGGGCAGTGCTACCACTTGAACACATTTGTAATATGAAGTTCATTTAACGTAAGACACTCCAGGTTCTCAGGGAATATTTCAATTTCGGATTTTGATACTCTGCTATCGCTTCAGGAAGGAAAGAAGATGACATACAAGGTGGTCACTCCCTCACAAAGCACCTGGACTGCACCTCTACACCCCATTACCTTGCTTGGCCTTATATCCCAGCCTGCGAGCTTTGTCGGGTCGGGTGGGGCGCGGAGCCCGGTGCAGGGCCGAGAGCTGCCGGTACTGCCAGCAGCGCACGCGGAGCAGGAACCGCATCACGTCCGACTGCTTTTTCCTCCATAGCTCCTGGATGTACTTGTAGGCACCCATCTTTGTCTACCTGCTGGACCAAGGTGTCAGTGAAAAAAGTGCACCACATCTCATTCCAGATCTGAGCAGCTCCCAACGGAGATGCTGCATAAAACCATGCAGGTAACACCACAGACACGGAGGATGCTCTCAAGCTGCTTTTACACTGCTGGCACATCTGGTAACGTGGCCCATACTTGGCAGCCTCCAACAGAACAAGAGGCCAGTTGCCATTCTCAGCAACTTTTTCCTTTTCCTATGTTTCTAAGTGTTGAACTCCTCAGCTGAGAATTCCTCAGGTGTGTATGTCAGACGCTAACAAAATTTATTTTAAAAATAAAATATAACTTTAGAATCAAGTGATATATATTTACAAAGAAATACGTGTTTGGGTTGTGTGGTCCTTATTTTCAGTGTGATTTAATTACCCCTAAAAATATCCGTGCTCTCATGTACCTGTGGCAATTAGCACGAGAGTGCACTTCATCAAACACCACCCAGATCGTCATCAGAGTAGCGCAGCTTATTTTATTTGTACAAGACAATCCCGCAATTATTCACGGCAACTTTCCACAACCCTCTCTGCACAGCCACGGGCATCCTCAGCTACCCCCTTTACAGCAGCATTATGGCACCAACCAGATGCAAACCCAGACGCGCACCAGGAGCTGCGGCCTGTAACCAACATGAACCCGCAGCGCAGCAGTGCAGGGCCTCCCCCTCACACCAGGCAGCCCCGGCCCCAGTGTCCCCCTCCCGAGCCCAGACCCCGGGCAGCCCG